AGGTTGACGGTGCCTGATGCTGCAGCTTCAGCGTGGCAGTGTTGAGCGAGTGTGTTCTTAGTAGCTAAGAGTCGCTGAGACGAGGCAACCTTCGTGGAGCATTCACAAAAGCAGAAGGACAACATCCATAACCTCCGGTTCGAGAAGGTCACCTATAGGAAGAAGCGGACAGCCGAGGCCTGGGCTTGCACCTTGTTTGTCGGCTGCATCGGGTTTGGTTGACATTCAGGAGATTATGGAGGACGACGACGAGACCGAGCCGACATTTGGCTGCGTCTTATCAGGGTCAAAGGGGTGACGGGTCGACATTATCGTTGGCTTTTGGGGCTGTCTTGTGACTGCAGGCCGGCTCAGCCTGCTGCGAAGCGGCGTGCCCCTCTCCGCAACGAGGACGTTCAACGTTTGAGAGAAAGGCCGGGCGACCGTTGCCCTGGCAGTGCGAAGGGCCCGACGACATTAACTGTCACAGCTCACATTCGCCTTGAACAGGTACATCCAATCCACGGCGGCCTACCAGGTCGAGCCGCACTGGCGTTCGGGGAAGCCCAAGGCTGTTGTCCGTGAGAAGATCCTCGGTGGTGTTCAAGTTATTTTTCCGAGTCCATCAGTGTCAGTGTCTGTAACAGGACGTGGCCCAGGGATTGCAGAAAGCAAGAGTGTTTGATAGGCTGAAGTCTTCTGTCAGCCAGATGTCCTTGAATGTTGTGAGGAAGTTGTGACTGCTGTCAGGAATCGGTTAGACGGCCAAGGTTAGCCGGGGCCCGGCTCAAGTGTAAGACTACCAGCATTTAACAGACATCAATGTGCTGAAACCCGAACTATTGCAGTCCGACTCAGACCATCTTCCGATTGGACACATTTGGTTTGTAAACGAGGAAGACTGGCAAGGGGATTTTCTCGCTGACCCACGACGATTGGTCGTTGGTTTTGACCCTGGCATCGTCTGTGGTTGCTTGGCTCCAGCTTGTCCAATAGTACTTAATACAAGGAAGCAACGGCTGCTCGGTAAGCCGCATGCCTTAGGACACCTTGTTCGGACCTAGGCAAAAAAAGCTCAAGAGCAGGGCGACCACAAGGGCATTCGCCAATTTGCCGATGCTGAGTACACAAGAATGATTGGGGAGCGGCGAGAGGGTCGCTGACACCGAGTCGCTGCCTGTATGTCCGGGGAATAAAAAGTGGCTGGGGCGGCAGCCATTGAAGACTAAGAAGCTCGAGAAATTTATGCGGGTATCAAGCAATCGACAGTGTCACACCTTCGTTCCGGATGATGTTGGCCTCGGACTGAAGGACGGGTCCTGCGTTATATGGCCCGGACAGGATCGACGACGATGGGATGACGCAGCCGGCTCACGGCTGTGGTGCGTGTGTGTCCTGCACGAGGCAGGACGATGTAGGGGCAAGTTGCCGCGACCGTGTGAACAGGGTGCCGAAACTTGCACGGTCACTGCCCAGGCCTCTCCATCCTGGCACAGGCAGGACTTTTCAGATGGTCTAGTGTTTTCTGTGACTGGAGGCTTGTGATTGCTGGCAGTTGTCCCGGGTGTGCTGTGTGCTGGACGAGGCAGGGGACGTTCGTGCTGTGTGACGGACGAGGCAGGGCACGTTGCCGGGACCGGTTCTACAAGGTGCCGAAAAGTCAGGTATACGGTAGGGTGGATTCGAAGGTGAGCAGTGTTTCTGGTTTTTGCTGACAAGCTTAGGCGTGGCCTTGTACGGGGCAGGTTGCCGCGACCGTTTCTAGCAGCTGCCGACAACTGAAGCGTGGATTGGAGAGGTGAGCGGTGTAATTCTATTTTTGCTGCCTAGCGTAGGAGAAGGCCCTGTTATGCAGGTATACACCTCCTACACTGAGCCCCGGGCTCGGCGTCGGAGGCGTCATGTGCTATGTTGACTCCATTTCCTACAGCCGAGGCCCTGGAGCTTTGAGCTTTTGCCTGTCCGGCGTAGGAGAAGCCTTTGTTATTGAGGTATACACCACCTACACTGAGCCCGGGGCTCGGCGTCGGAGGCGTCATGTGCTATGTTGAGTCCATTTCCTACAGCCGATTGGGCTGCTGCCCTTATTGTAGGTAACACACGTGTCCACTAGCCCCTGAGCAGCACGATGAGCTCGCCCAGGCCGGAATGCCAGCCATCTGCACATTTTCCCGCCGAAGGAGGACCGTCTGACTGACTGTTTTCTCGCCGTGAGCAGTGTTGGAAATTCTCGCTGACCTTCTCCAGAACAGCAGCAGCCGTATTTCGAAGGAAACGGTAAGTCTGCTTCTTTTGCGGAACCCATGGCGCCCCGTCGCAGCACCGGTGGAGACAAGAAGAAGGCCACTGCCACTGAGGCCTCGCCCAAAGCCCCGGAGGATGGCCCCATCATGAAGATGACAACGTCGGAGGGCTGGGATGCGGTGAAGAAGGCCATCAAGAAGCTCAAGGAGGCCAAGCGGTGGGTGACTTCAGGACCCGGACGAGTGTTCCAGCATTGAGTTGTGCCAGTGTAGGGCTGTCAAGGTCTTATGATAGCCACAGCCCTGGAGGAAAGAAGCTGCCGAAGGATGCAATGACGGGGGCCGTGACGACCTTGAAGCTGGCAGATATTAACTTCGAGGAGCCGGGACCGGGATTGACCTTCCCCACGATGGCCGAGTTGAGCGGATCGAGAAGTTACTGGTACGGCCCGAAGTGTGCCGTGTCCTTGCCCGTGCTCCAGTTGATGGCTCCCAGCACGTCCGGCAGTGCCAACTCTGTGGATGTCAGGCCGGCGGGATTGTGATATGTCATCAGTCACTCGGTCCTCTCTCGCCGTTCGGTACCCTGAGGCCAGGACAGCTTCTTGCGACAACCCATCTATCCCGGCTGGGCGCTTTCATCCTAGAGTTTGCGGACAGCCTCCGCGACAAAGACCGTGCGGCCGTCTTTCAGGAGTGTGCCGAGGCATCAGGGGCGTATTAATAATAAAGTCAGTGTCAGTGTCCAGGCTAACCGAGTTTCCATGCCGACAGGCCGTTTGCGGAATGATCGTGCGGACCGGCGGTGATGGGAAGGAAGCGTTCTGGCTGTGTCACAGGCAAGGAGAGGACGCCATACAACGATGCAAGGAGGCGGGCCGCTGGAAGTTAGGATCGTTCTTGAACATTTGGAGAGATGCCTGTGTTTTGAATTGATTGCTTGCAGGAGGGGAATAATCTCGCGTGGAGACTGGCACAGCGCCTGGAACAGTGCCTTGGCTCTGTTGGTCCATCACACATTGAATTTGCTATCGATGCTTGGCTCACCGAGGCTTCGATGCCTGAACAAAGGCTTGGGCCTGAAGTACACTCCGGAGGCTCTCTTCGACGAGTTCAACGAGCGTGTGCGTGAGCATGGCCTCACGTATGCGAGCGGCCTGTCCCAGGCGGAGCTTCTTCGGGTTCTTTCACGTGTTCGTGTGTGCACTCTTTGCGTGTGTCTTTCGAAGACTGAGAACATCGAGTGCAGATTGCAATGACAGGTCAAGTCGCCAGACATGATCAAAAAGCTCTTGAGGCTTTTGGGGCGGGCTGTGCAGGGGAACGTTGTCGAGGTTTTCCAGAACATGCAGTTTGTCGGCGGCCAGCCGACGTGGCTCGGACAATGGTCCGTGGTTGTGCGGCTTCTGGGGCCGTGCTCCAGTGGCAGCGAGCTCGCGTTCGTGGCCCGACACACGGCTGCAATGAGAGACGAAACATGCAGTAGCCGTAGTAGCGTAGTAGTCTATCTGTTGTCTTCGAAATATGTTAAGAGAGCGAGGTTGATTTCGACCGGTATTGTCCCGAGGTTGACCATCTACTAGGCCCTAGGCTTTGGGGATTCTTACCCAGCCCTGAAGGCCTGCAAAAGGCTTGAAGAAGAATCTAGGCTTTAGAGTTCAGGGCTTTCAACTGCATTCGTTGCACAAGAGCTGCCAATCCCATTTGGGCCCCCAAAGCACCCATGGGAAGTTTTGCAAATTCGGGTCTTACTTTATAAGGGTGCCTAGAGAACTATTTCTATAGTCTTTGAGGGCTGTTCCTAGACTTGGCCTCAGGCCAAATTAGACACCCTACAGGTAGCAGTAACAGTAGGAGCAGTGATCGCCATAGCAGGAGAAGAAGAAGAAGTAGTAGTAGTAGTAGTAGTAGTAGTAGTACTAGTAGTAACTGTTGTTGTTGTTGTTGTTGTTGCTGTTGTTGTTGTTGTTCTAGTCGTAGTGCCTTTAACCCTAAATCTAAACAACTCTAAACCCTACAAGAACAGCTACTAGGGCGACGGCTACTATTACTACTTAGGCTAGTACTACTACTTACTAGTACTAGTACTAGTAAGAGTACTCGTACTAGTACTAGTACTAGTCCTCGTGCTACTACTACTACTACTACTACTATTTCTACTACTAATTGCTACTACTATTACTACTACTACTACTACTGCTACTACTCGTACTATTGCCGATTAGTGCGGCTGCTGCTGCTAATGCTGCTGGCACTGCTACTACTAATGACTGCTGGCTACTACTGATTGACTGCTGACTATTGCTGACTACTACTACTACTACTACTACTACTACTACTACTACTACTACTACTACTACTACTACTACTACTACTACTACTACTACTACTACTACTACTACTACTACTACTACTACTACTGCTACTACTACTACTACTACTACTACTACTACTACTACTACTACTACTACTACTACTACTACTACTACTACTACTACTACTACTACTAACTACTACTACTACTACTACTACTACTACTACTACTACTACTACTCCGACTACTACTACTACTGCTCGTCCTCCTCCTGCTCCTCCTGCTGCTGCTGCTGCGGCTACTACTTCTACTTGTGTGGGGCGACAGCTAATGTACACCCATGAATCCGTGAAGAAAGGCTAGGCGGCGAATGCTGCCCGATCTAAAAAAGGTAATGCGACTCACGTCTTGTTGGGGATCCTGGGTGTAGTCATTTGCAGTTGATTCAGCCTGTACGCCAGCGGAGTGAATGGTTGCCTGGGCTGATTCGGGTCTGAAGCATGTTTCCGCTTAGAGTGCCCGGTGTGGATTTCCAAACTTGTTGTGAGGTTTGGCATTGGGGCTGAACAAATCGAAACCTATCCTTCCTCGGCATCTTCCTCTTCCCTCCTGTCACTCACCGACGACGAATCTCAGGAGTGCTGGAGATCCGGGCGTTCGGCACACCGCACGATCCGGATATGAGCTGGGGCTCGGTTCTGCCGGCATTGGGAAGCATGGGCAAGGCTGCTTGGCTATCTTGACTCTCAGTCTCTATGCTGCTGAGCGATTACTGATTCGCCATGATCTTCTTGTAGCACAGCTGAGGAAAACGCACCGGAGATCGCCAAGGTCCTTGTGTACTGTCAGCAGGTGCTGGGCCATCTCTGCGAGAAGTTCAGCAGCCTTCCGGAGGTGCCGAAGTGGGACCTGACCCCGTTCAAAACCATCGAGGGCTTCCTGACAGTGGTGTCGGAGGGCAAGCTCGAGATCTTCGGGCTTCCCGACCGTGCGAGGCGAGTGCACAACCTTCTCCGTGCCATCATTCGCGGCGAGCACTATGCGGACCGAACCTGCGAGTGTTTGTAAGTCGAGTCTCCATCAGAAATGCCGGCAACTGTGTCAGGACTTCGAGGCCACCATCAAGGAGTTTCCTGATGCCCCTCTGGCCACCAGGTTGGGGCACAGCCGGACACATGCCCTGTTCCAGGATGTCCTGCGAGAGCCTTTTGGTTGCAATAATATAGGTGGCTGACTCTGTCCCAACAGAAGCTGTGAGTGCATCCTTTGTCGAGGTGGCAGCATGCGCTCCCTCTTTCAGAGCCAGCGCCAGAGACTGCGGCTCAGGCGGCATTGCAGACCGAGGAGGACGAGCCGAGCGGTGCTGCCTCGTCGATGAACGACGAGGCAGAAAAAAACCGCCTGAGGGGCGTGAAGGCGGCTGGAATGGAGGAAATAGGTCATTATGTGAAATTCATCCAGATCGACTCGGACGGCCTGGCAGACGGATTATTGGTACACAATCGTGTCAAACCGAAGCTGGGTCCTGCTAATTATGCCTGATCGTCAGTCGTCATGTCTGAACCCTGATAATAAACTGCAAAAGCTAAGGGTCCTTTCCAGCATGCCCCCTTTGGACCGCGGGCAAAACGTGGTCTTCATCGTCGACCCAGGCGTCATGTCCGAGCCGTCCGAAGCCTACACCCGAGCACACAACGTGTATTCGAGAACACCGTCGGTGTTCACCCACGTGATCACCGGCAGCGTCAAGGCTGCTGGGATGTTCGCCTCGGAGTTTCCAGGGGTAGCGACGTTCGGGTGCTTCGACGTGGGCTCATACAAGGCCGGCCAGTGTATCAGGTCGCAGCTGGCCAAAGCCAAGATTGGCCGGTACCAGGCCTGGGACCTTCTTCCTCGACAGTGTGATATGGAAGCTCGGCTACTTTTCCGACATGGAACGGACGAGGATCAAGAGCTGCTTTGCTGCAGATTGGGAGTGCTCCACTCACTCACTCACTCACTCACTCGATCAGGTCGGCACTGAAGCGGCGAAAAACGTTGGGCGTCACCGCCGGGCACTTGACCTACATCGTGGGACGTGAAGTTTTTCATTTCTGCCGGAGCATCAATCCCATCGATGCAAAGCCGCACAAGCACCTGACAATGCCGGCCGGGCGACTCGGAGCAAGGAGCTTCATCATTTCAGTCCGTCCAGAGTGTCATCATCGTAGAGTCCAGACTTCTGTGTTGCATGCGAGGTCTGGTGACTCGTCGGCCAGTTGGCTGACGATTCCGCTCCCTCACCCCTCCACACTGCGACCATTGGTGAGTAAGGCCGACAAGCAGAAGGCGGACGGGCTTTGTGGAGTTGAAATCAGTGTAGACAGCAGTTGCGTGGCCCCAGCATTTCAGGTGCTCATGAAGTATGACAGCAGGAACCAAAAGAAGGATGCCAATGCCAAGGCGCTCAACGATGAGGATGTTGTGCAGCATGCAGCAGAGATCGGTGAGGAGGACTGAATTTCGCATACTGCTGAGTAGCTACATCGTCGAGCTCCTGCAAAGCACGTGCTTCGGCAGGAGCTGCAGCCGTTGAATTACCTGGCGAGACATGGCAGCTTGCACAAGGAGCTCTGAGCTATTGCAGTTCAAACCAAGGCCCGTGAATTCAGCGTTGGTGTCAGGAGCTGTGGCACCTTCTGGATGCGGGACGGCTGGTCAGCTTCAGTCCAGAGTTCAATCAGCTATCCGCAGCCATGGAGCAGCGACTCTTCACCATTGCTCTGGTGCGAAGCAGCCTCCACGAGGACCTGCTGAAGAAGGAATTGCTCGAGTGGGTGACACAGGAGCTGCAGCGTCCTTCCAACGACCGTTTCTTCCGGCCTCATCTGGCACCGCCTCAGAAAGACGTCGTCGAGGTGGCCCCTGCCGCCGCTGTTAACAGGGAGGCCCCGATTGAGACACGTCCTGGGAGCACGAGCAACTGCCCGGGACAGACCGAGGATCAGGAGGAGTATGGCGGCGATGACGGAGAGATCCCTGGGCTGCTGCAGAACATGGATGAGGACGAGGACCCGGAGGCTCAGGAGGAGTTTGAGGAGGATCTTGATGAGGGCAATGCCTAGGAAGTTTCACGACTGATGAGACTCAGCAGCCTGGTCGTTTTGGCTGGGACGGAGATTGAACTTAATTTTCTAAGGCAGCATGCTCATGAGTGCAGTGATTCGGGGCCTCCCCTCCCACACAAGACAGCTGCTGAAGTCAAAGACTCCGAACTTCGCAGGCCTAGCATCTGCGTGTGGTGAGAAAAGTGCTGCGGCAAGAGTCATATTGCAAGAGGCTTTGGAGGGCTTGCTGGTGACATCGCCCCATGCAAGGGTGTCAGCTTGGACTGAACTTACTTCATTGCACACTTGACAGCAGAAAGCCAAGCTGGAGGGATCATCGGTATCAGTCTTTGTCTGACTCTGCCATTGTCTGTGACTGGAAGACGGATAGGGGCTCGGGTCACTCATTGCTGCCTGACCTCTCTGTGCAGGCCCTTCGCCGTCGGCTTCATGGACGTCCTGAGGCTGTGTTCTGGAAGCTTTGGGGTTGGGATTGCTTGTAATAACCTTGGGGTGGCAGCTCCAGTCCTGGCGGAAATGCCATTCAATCGTGTCGTAACTCTGAATCGAAGTGTGTGAACCCAATAGCTCGCGGCTATCAGCCTGGCAATGATAAGAGGTGAGGCCCTGAGGCAAGAAGCCCCGCAAGCCACAGAGCGATGTAAGCCCTTCTGCTTCTAGTTGTCATTGTTCAAGCATGCCACGTCCTTTGACAGTAAGTACTATATTACCATACCCTCCCTGGCCTCATCGGAGCATCCATTTAATGTACGTGTGTTGGCATCATGAGTGCGAAGTGGGAAATCATGTTTGGGTTGACACTGACATGCTGTGGTAGTGTTAGTCATTTAGCAAGGTTCATGTAGGACCCAGAGTAGGCCCTTATTCCCTTTTTTAGGGTTCAGGTTCCCTTATAAGCCCCTTTAAACCAAAAAGGGCACCCTTTTTATTCCTAGGTTACTCTTAGGTCTACGTGTGGGACCGGTTTCCTGATGCGAGTCTGACTGCCCTTGGGGTTCCATTCCACTAGATAGCTTCGTCCCACACCTTATAAATCCTGCTTTGAAGTTCGTCTTGAAGCAGTCTGTGTGTATTCGCGAGCGACCTGAAGCGTTAGCAGCTTGCCAGGCTTTTGGGGTCTGTCTTATGAGGCTTCTGGAGTTTTCTGGGTTTAGGTTCCAAACTTCGCAACCCTCATGGCATCTAAGCGGTCGTCTCATGCGAATAGGATAGGTTTACTGCTGGATTCCAAGCTTGCAGGGGTGCAGGGTGTTGGGTTTGTTTTGGCCTTTGGGATTGGAGGGCTCGAGGGTCCGGGGTTTACAGTTAGATGATTTTAGGCTTTAGGGTTATACAGCCTCACATGGAGTCATAAAGCTTTCGGGCTGCAGCGGCATCTCTTTCGCATTTTTTCATGGTTTCTGAGATGATAAGTTCGGGTTGGGGTCCGGGTTGAAGGATTCATTAGGTGTTGGAAGCTGATATACAGTCTTGTTGTTGCTTTGTGCTGGGTTTGCGGTTTGGGTTGGGGTTTAATTAAGGATTGGGTTTTGGAAAAAGACATCCAGTTCTTGAGTTCTACTGTTACCTGAAATTTAGTTTCTGTTGGGGTTTCTGGGAGTTAAAGCTTGTGTAGCTGCGTACATGGGTAGCCCTAAACCCCCCCGAAACTGGCATTGTGGCTTTTGCTCCGGGCTATTGGGTTGCGGGGGGAGCGAGGATTCTTCCTAGGCTTAGGCGTTCAATTCTACGCATAAACCCGGCCCCCAAACCCCAAACACCATAGCCTCCCTCCGATCTACAGCCACTCGGAACCGCCACACTGACACGGCGAGACAGGCACGCATGCCTCGGTTGTGGTCAATCCGGGACCAGTCCAGGGTCATGATCCCTCGCTGCACTTGCACCAGGAGTTGGTGCCGACCGACCGCAGACAGCGGTAGCATCAGTTGGTTGCCCAGTACGTGCTGCCGACCGACCGCAGACAGCGGTAGCATCAGTTGGTTGCCCAGTACGTGCATCGACCGGTTGGTCGTCGTCTTTTCGCCGGGACCAGGAAAAAAAAGATGCAAGAATCGCATCTGTATTCCGGCACCAACAAAAGGCCGAGCGCCGAGAGGCCACACACAGGAAGACTGGCCAGAAGATGACGTGGTGCATGCGTAATTCGGCCCCAACCCCCCTGCAGGCCCTACTTAGGCTGCTAGTGTACCCAACCCTACTAAGGTCCTGGTACCTTAAAATGGAGATCACTTAAGCCCTACGTAGGTGACTAAGCTGGAGCTCCAGCTGCGGCAGAAGTAGGGTACTCTAGTCCTATACTTCTAGGCCGGCTTTAGGCGCGGTGGCGGCGAAGGTCCCCAACAGCCCGATCTTCCGGTTTTAGCCTGAACCCTCCTCGGCCACATGCCAGCAATTCGTTGCAGCGGCGCTGCACGATGCTGAGGCGACCGTCACGCTTGAATCAGGTTTAGTCCTGACATAAAGAAACCATAGGTCGCCACCGAAATAATGCCAGCCGGTAGCTGAGTAGCTGTAGGCATTGGCCGTACATGAACGTGAACCAGAACTCCGCAGGCCGCAAGCCCAAACCCGTATTTCCGCCACTCCCAACAGAACCGCAGGACGTAGCTGCCTCTCACAAGTGCAAGGGTCCAAGACACCTGATAGATTAAGCCCCCCTGATCTCCCGAACATCCCGGAATCTGGCCAGTCACGTCTGGCCTCCTGTGCATTGCTGGCAGCCTTGGCAGTGCCAAGGCAACGAAACCAGGTGTGGGTTTGGGGATCTCTCTGTAGCTAGCCACAGTGCCCGTGCGCCCGTTCTGAGCCCTCTCACAGGCTAGACCCCAAGCCTATCCTATCCTAGCGATGGGCCCTATCACAGTGCCCATCTTAAGCCCTGAGCCCCGAAATTGAGCTTGTGGGTCTAGTCTAGTTTAGGTTCGTTGCGGCATTTGGTTGTAGCGTGTTTCGGGTTGGATTTGTTGGGGCCTGCCATCGAAGACGGCCGAATCTAGGCTTGTGGGCTTTTATACTGATTTCATGGTGTGTCATCCGCACACGTGCATTTCAACTAGTTCTCAAGTGTCAGCTCCGGTTGATTCTAGGTTTGGTATGGAGTCTGAGGCATGGATCGAGGAAGGAAGGAGTGGAGGGTCCCGAGTAGTCGGGGTTGATTGGCAACGGCGGTGGGTTCAGGGCTGAGGGCTCCGGGTTAGATTCGGTTAGATCTGAGGGGTTTGCGCTTAGCTTCATGTCAGGTCGAATGCATGTTGGTTGTACGAATTGACGATCTGTGTACTTACCATACATCCCAGTAAATCGTGGCCCGCTGGGTAAACCAGTGTATTGCGTGCACGACATTGAGCCAGTCAAAAGTCTCTGCAACTGTCTGATTCTTGGTATAAAGCCCCCTGAATGAAGTTGGCATTCGTATCCTGAATCGGGCCTCGGCAGACTGAAACCAGGCCTTCTTTGGCGACGGTAGTTCCATGGCTTGGAGAAGGCTTGACCGGTGCATGGGACATCATGTCATTGGGCTTCCTCATGACTTTAAACTTGAGAGCCTTGTTTAGACTAGAGCTGGCTTAGAAGTTTCGGACTAGGGCCTAGGGTGACGAGGGCTAGGGTGACTAGGGATTGCGCTTACAGGACCTAGGATGCTGGTTTGTGACGTTCATGCCTTAGGCCAGTTTTGGAGTTGGGGTTGCCATCGAGCATTTTCTGGGATTCTAGGTATTCTGGGTTGTAAAGTTTGTGCTATAGGACTCTAGGATAGTTTGCAGCTCGGGTTCCTATAGCCTAGGTAGGCTGTAGGACTTTTGGTTTTGGTTTGCGTCCAGTCTAGGTCTTCGGCTTCAAGGTTTGGGTGGTTCCTTGGCCGGGTGGTCACGTAACTTCGGGCAATTGCTGAATTGATTAGCCGGGTTTGGGGTAATCAGGTGTTGGCCTTTACGAACGGGGTTCTGGGTTCTGGGACAGGGGTTTTGTGGTTAAGGGTTTTCAGGTTTGGGTTCAGCGTTGTGGGTTTGCCGGGTCTGGGCGTTGAGACTTTACAGTGTCGGGACAATCGCATTTTGCGACTTCAGGTCTTCTTTGCCATTCGGGGTTACATTTCGGATTATCATAAATTCATTCATAGCCTTGTTTCTTGGCTTGGCTTTGATTGAGGTACTTTGCTGCTTCGGGTTGACATGCCATGTCGAAGGAGGAGCCAGGTTTCAATATTACAGGGTTTTCAGATTATTTTGGCATCGGGTTTAGGGTGGAGGACCCTAAGAAAAAAAAGTGATCCGGCTTCGGCCAATTTTTTCAACAAAAAAGAAGACGAACGAAACGCACGGTGGTTTAGGACGTTTCGGGTTTAAGCACGGTTTATAGGCGTAGCGGTCCTCCATCATTCGGGATCCGGGAGGGTCGTGGGCGATTTCACTTCGGAGTTCAGTCGTGGGTGGCTCCTTTTGCCTAGGCCCCTAAGCCCCGCCCGAACTCCCGTGCCGTTGGCTTGCGAGACAATTCGAAGGCGGGACCGGTACGCGGACAGCGGAAGTGCTGGACGATTCTTCGCCATCAAGGAACTGAACTCATCAACCGCCGTGGGACGATGACATGAGGTGTCCTGGAGTGCTGTGCTTGGCACAGAGCAGGCAGTATCGGCAGTAACCCCTCTTCGCAGCCAGGCTGCTCAGTCGCCTCCGTCATTGTCGAGGCAGGGGAACTTTCCGCCTGTGGTGCAGTCCGTCTTTAAGTTCTGCTGTGCAGACATAACTGACGAAGACGACGTGGTGCCCACCGAAAAGCTGCAAACTTTCGTCGCAAGCAGCAAAGCCCTCCAATGCCCCGAGGCAGGAACATCGCCCGCATGGGGCTCCGCCAAATCGCAGCCCTTGCAGCTTCTGAAGGGCTTTTTTAATACTATAGAATTAGTGGTTTAGGTGTGCTGGGTAGATGGTGGCATCGAGATCGCAATCAACAACTAGAATAACTATGACTAGGACTAGGATACTAATAATACC